ACCCATCTCCCCATCCCTCCCACCCTCCAGCCCCTGGCAGCCACCATTCTACTCTGCTTCTATGAGCTCAACTTTTTTAAATTTCACATATAAGTGCGATCATACAGTCTATGTCTAGAAAAGGCCTTTCTAAGGGCAAACCCCAAATCCCTGAAGGACAAAAAAGATAAATGTGACAACATATTATAAACTTCTTTGCATAAAAATAAAAACCTCACTGTAAGCAAAATTAAATAGCAAATATTAAAGTGGAGAAAGTATTTACAATATACAACAAACAGCAAATATGCTCATTATATAAAGATATCTTTCAAATAAATATTTAAAAGGGCGAATAGAGGAAAAGAGTACATAATAAGCAAATGAAAAGAAAAATTACAAATGACTAATATTTGTTTAAAAGAGTTTAAGCTTCAATTAAAAATAGTAAAACAGTATTTTATTATTTATTTCATTTAAAAGTGAAACAGATCATCTTTTGCATTGTGGTGCCTGTGAAGAAGCAGGTGTCCCAGTACAGTGTGGGGGAGACACAATTGTGCAAAATATCTGTGATTCTTGGGAACACTCCAAAGTACCCATATCTTTTTCCCTAGTAGTTTTACTTCTAGAAATTTATACTAAGAACATAACTAGCAGTCCTGACCAGTGTGGCTCAGTTGGCTGAGCGTCATCCATGCACCAAAAGGTCACCAGGTCTAGTCCCGGTCAGGGCACCTGCCCGGGTTTCAGGGATTGATCCCCAATAGGAGGAATGCAGGAGGCAGTGATCAATGTTCCTCTCTCACATCGATATTTCTCTATCCCTCCCTCTCCTTTTCTCTAAAAAAAAATCAATAATAACATATTATTAAAGAAAGAAAATTAGCAAATGCACAGATATACATACAATAATATTTAGTTGAAGGTTGATTAATTATACTATGATATAAAAGAATATTATGCCATCATTAAAAATATTTAATGCTATGAGAAAAAAGTTAAGTGTATTTATATTATATAAATTTTTTGTATACTACCATCAATTATATATATAGTTTAACGCAGAATTTATTTGTGTGTTTTTTTAATATGTTTTTATTGATATCAGAGAGAGGAAAAGAGAGATGGGGGGAACATCGATAAAAGAGAAACAGCGATTGGCTGCCTCCTGAAACCCGGGCATGTGCCCTGACCCAGACCAGTGACCTCCTGCTGCGTGGGCTCTGCTCCATGAACTGAACCACACCAGCTGGGCTTATTTTTGTTTAAAAGAAAATATAACAAAGTATAGAAAAACTATACACACATACACACACACACACATATGTATATATGTGCCAAAATGTCAATCGTTGTCTACTCTGGCGTGATGATTATGTAGGTGATCTTTTATTTTTCTCTCTGCTTTTCTTTTTTACTTTTTTCTTGAAATTGAAAAGGTTACTTTGTGTTTTAAAAATGTTACTTTGAAAATGAGAAAATAACTGTCTTCTTGTTTTACCTGTTTCTTCCGTTTTTTCAGGGAAGTGTTCCTCCCTTTCCCCGAGGTTGCATTTTCACCGTTCAGGCTCGCACCGGGAAGGACAGCCGTCCCAGGAGCCTGGGCAGTCCCGGGGCCACCCAGGTGCCGGGCGCGCGTGGCCAGGGTCACGCCTCCCCGTGTGGCCGAACGACCTGAGGCAACGGCGGACGTGCACAGACAGCCGATCTAGCGTTTAGTAATGTGCCGTCAGGAGGAAGGCAGCAGGTTATTTGCACTCGAACTGGCCCTTCACTCGCACAAACTAGGAACACAAATTGATCCTCGTATTTTAAATGTTTTCCTGTAGACTTGCTGGGCGACGGGGGGACAGATAAAGGCAACTAGAGAAGCATCCACCCCGCATTTGCCGCATCTTCTCAATTCTTTTAGACAAGGAAAGTGAGTCACTACCTCTCGTTCCAGGCACCATGGAAAACATTCCTTAAATTCATAGTCTCGAGGGTGTGGCCAGAAATGTTCATCGTGCCAGGGTGTATGTCTTGAGATTTCCTTTCATGTTTAGGTTCGACCTCCTTTAAAGGGTCCTCTCCAGGTAGAGCCTAGCAAAGCTGCACGGTTTAACTTCTGAGCTACCTTGGCACGAAACAAAAACATAAACCTGTTGATTGGGAAGAAAAGAACAGAAGAAGATTGTCTTATAAATACCTTCTTTTGTGAGCATCTCCTCTGTGCATAAGTAGCGTTTGAAGGACTCTGGGAGTTAGGTTTACTGTTATGATTTTATCTTCACTGTTTTACAATTATTTTAGTTTAATGTCTCTTAATAGCAAACTTACAGAAACAGCACAGAAGACAGACATTAAAAACGCGGACTTGTGTGTAGGACAACCCGGTTAGACAAGTAGAGTGAATGTGTAGAATCAGCTGTGTGCTAAAAATGCTACAAACACCATTAGTTGCCATCAATAAGAAATTTACTTGTTTTTAAAAAATTCAACTGCTGGCATTGTCCAGAAAAATGTAGCAGTTTTATTTATAATTGTCATCAAGTCAAACCACTGAAACCTGTTCGCTGAAATATTTTGACGTCCATCAACGTTTTATGTTCCTATTTTAAAAATTCACACACAAATGGAAATGAAAAAACTGTCAATATCTGATTTCTGTCCCGTTTTCCACTTGTAATCATATACTTAGGTACTTTTTGACGCTACGGGGGGAAATATATATATATATATATATAACGTTCAGAACTATCAATAACAGGAAGAAGAGAAAAAACTTTTTTTAAAGAATGAGCTGTTTCCTATCCTAGTGGATCCGTAAGCCCGTTCTCCACGTATGCAGAGTGCTAGCACGGTCCTCTGGGGGTTTCATAAATTCCTATGTGGGCAGAAAGCTGTATCTCACCAACTTGCCTGAGAACCTCGATTTGAATAACAAATAGGCTTCAGTAATGGTACCGCTGACAAGATTTCTTACAGGATTCTAAAACCTTTCTTATCAAATTGTGACCACTGTTTGGGATTCTCTTGTTGACGTAACAACAAAATATTTACTGTATCAATGGCATGTGAAGCATTATTGCAGAATGAGAAGTAGCTCCTGTGACTATTATATAATGACATTAAAATTATGGCTCCTAGTCCCAGGCTCACAACTTTATACGGCTCTACACTTTTATTTTGCACCGGAAACAGAATCATATTAATCTGAATTTCCAGGTAACATTATTGACAGCTCAAAGCTAACGTTCAACCTTTTCTTGAGAAATAACACGTGATAAAATATTTTTAAATGCTCAAGCAGCAAGTTCCAACCCAGAAGCATAAATGTCATACTATTCAGAATCAATTTTTAAAACAAAATCTCAAAGCCGCTCAAAATGTCTTAACAGCTTAATGGTATAATTAAAAAAATAATAATAATTAAAAACTGAAAATGCTCACTTTAGTCCACTCCTCACAGCAGGGCATGGAAGGCACCGTTTTGGTACACAAGATGAAATCAGAGCCAAGTAAGGAGGGCTGTGGGGCTTGATAAGGCTTGGGCCCGGTGCTGGGCTCCGGGAAGCTGCTAAGAGCCTTGCTTTCCTGCTCCAAGTACGTCAGCAAACAGATCCAGCTGCGCTCTAATGTAATTTCTCAAATGAGAGTATAACAAGGCAGAGTTCATGTCAGGACTTTATGCTCCTGGGATGAGCTCTGATGCAACAGAGAAACAATAAGCTCTTTCTGTTGTTAGCAGCCTGGGCTGGGGGGGGAGGTTTGTTTAGTTCTGACTTATCTCTATATGCACATTTGTTTGATACAAAGTGTTTTTAAGCAAATCTGACTTCATTTAAGTTGTTCTTTGTTTGACCTTAAAATGATATCCTGACTGTGATTGAGGGTGATCGGTGGCGTGTTCCTTTAATAAAAGCACAGGGTAGGAAAACCGAAAGTTACAAAAACATATGTAAAATTGAGCAGCACAGACAGTAAGAGCAATAGGAGTTCAGAGAATGTGGCTGTAAAACGGGAAATGCATCAGAGATTTATACTAAGTTCGTAAACGAGGCTTATGTGCAGCATAAATCTGTGAGCGAGAATGAAATTTCACTGATCCAGTTTCCTAAATATTTTTTGGCTCACAGATGCCTGCGAATATCAGGTGAAAGGTCAAAGATCTTTCCAAGATTAATGCAGATGCCAGAAGGAAAGTGTATGTTCTCAAAGCCTTCTCTGGTTTCCCTACAGACACTATGACATGGATGCCTAAGAGTGACAATAAATTTCTTTGATTTTTGCTAAATGAGCAAAGTCATTCACACTTGAAGACAGATCAGATTGATTACATTGGTGCGGGGGGAGGAGATGGATGCAGACACGCAACGGAAAGGTTTGGGTGGTGCTGGTGGTGGGTTTGGTTTGGTTTGGTTTGGTTTCTCCCCAGTAGAAAGGTTTATATCATGGCAACCTAAACAATTTTCAACCTGTGTTTTGGTCATCCCCCCACTACAGTAAATACATGGGCACTCCACCCCAACTCCTATTCTCATGGCTACATTTTGCTCCAACTGACTCTCTAGATTAGAACAAACTAATTTCTCTCCACAATTTAGTGACTGGGTCTTTTTTTATATAGTCCAAGCTCATGCTCACATCAGTGCAACTAGGGTCCACCATCGACCCCAAGCAGCTCATCTAAAGAATTCCCCAAAAATATCTTCCCCTCTAAGAGGAATTGAGTCCAACTGTTAGCATAATACAATGTGTTGGCCCTTAACCTAGAGAACAGAGCTTTTTACACCGAGGCCCACAGACAAGTGCCAGCACTTTAATTAGTATGTAAGGAGTAATTCCTCTCATCCTTCTTATACTCTCTGAGATACCATCAAAGAAAGGAAGGCCATGGGGAAACACCAGCAGGTGGAGCGGTTATAGCAACTCTTCCTTGTCAGCATGTCGAGTCTTGACATGCCATCAGATTCCAGTGAACCTGAGGCTCCCTTGTTTCAGCACTTGTTTATTTTTTCAAAGGCTCAATTTTTGAGCATGTCATTTGACATCCAGTAAATTGTGGCAGGTAAAACGATATCCATCATATCGCGCTTATCTCATTCTCCCAACTTGTTACTCAAACAGAAATAAATGATAAAGAAAAGCCATATGACATGAATGAGGCTATCTAACACAACAGGTGGTCTTAGGAGGAGACTCGGCTATGTTTCCCTGTTCCCGTAAATAGCAGAGAAATAAGTTACACATGCAGAAGCGGAGTCCTTCAGGCAATGCGGCCCTCTCTCGCCAAGTAACACACACCTATTCCATTATTCATATGACTTTATTATCACAGCGCATAGATTTAAGTGCTGTATCTTTTTTCGTATGCAGAGGAAACCCACAAATCTGTTACCCTAACTTTCTTACAGATCCAGCTCAAGGTAAATGTTCTGCAAGGACTCTCTCTTTCTGGCCCCCTCTCACAACGATTCTAATACCTTGTCCTCATTATCCTCGGTGCATATAAAAGAATCTCTCTGATCCAAAACAATAAGAACCTATAGTTGATAGGTAAACTGAAAAAGTAGATTCAGCAGAGGTTCTATTTTTCTTAGGCGGTTTTTCATCTGCACACTGAGGACTAATAGTCGTAGAGGAATTGTGGGGATTAAATGAGTTATTACATATAAAGTACTTAAAACAGTGGCACTAAGGTGAAGTCCTAATCAATGCTGAATATCATAGTTTATCTGTCATATATATTTATACAAACACATTGTTATGAATAAAGTCCTTGGGGGCTAAATATGTTTTCTGTTTTGTGGTCGCCCTGGTAACAAAGTCCAGTGGTACAACCATTACCCCTTTTTTGGTGAATATTTAGTAAACAGGTGACCGATGTTCAAGTAATATTCAAACAAAGAATATTCAATCTTCCATCGTCTCATTTTCAGTTAATTTTCATATATCCATGTTTATCCTAAACTCTAGAAGTCTGAGAATTGGTTAATTACAAGAAAATTAAAGTCTTCATGTTAATATCTGTTGTAATGAGAAAAGTTAATCCATAGATGTTTCTGAGCTATAAAACTGACAATAACAAGCAAACAATTTGTCTGCAATTTAGGAATTTAAATCCATGTCATTCTAAGTGCACAGATGTAAAATAATTAACTATATTAGTCAAAACGCACTCCAACACTCAACTCTCGGTTGCCATTATGTCGAGCTGTTCCTCAAAATGTCTAACATCTTCTCTGTTATCTCTCTGTGTTTAGAGGCAGAAGAACACACAAATTATTCTTTATCTGTTAACAGCTTAGGATTGCAAACATCTTTAACGTACATGGGGTGAGAGAAAGTTCTATGTGTATTGTCAATGATTTCTCAATATCTTCTGAATATTCTTGGCTATATTATATAGTAAATCCTTCAGCCCTTTGCCTGCTCATTTTACTTAATTCACCCAAAAATAGCCCTTTTTTCACTTGCTCTCAATTCCAACTCAGTGTAGCTAAAAGTGGATTTTCATCTTTTCCCTTTAAACGCTGGTCCTCTCTGAATACCCTGTTCTCACTAATGGCACCCTATCCTTTCGGTCATTTAATCCTGAAGCCCCCAGAGACGCCCGTGAGATTGAGAAACACTGAATGGCAGTTAATGCGCTACTCGCCCCCACCCCGCCCATTACTAGCCATGGAATGTGCTTGTCTTCTCTGCAAAGGGAGGATCTAATAATACCCGCCTAAGAGGATCGTGAGAAGAATTCCACGAGTAACTACACGTAAAGGGCTTAGGAGAGCGCCTGCTCCCTGTTAAGCCTCAGGAAACGCCCGCCACCGCGATCCTTTTTCATTTCCATACCAACACGCTGGCCAGCGCCTCTCTGTCTGCTGCCACCTGTCTGTCCCCAAAGCCATCTCCTGCTCCAGCTCCCCGCGATCGCCCACTCCCTAATCCTTGGCCAGACTCACGCGTTTACTTGCTCATTCATTCCCCGGATAGGCAATGAGAAATGGCGATGGGCCGGCACAGTGTAAGCCCTGGGACCGCGGCAGAGAGGAAAGCAGCCCTGGCCTCTGCCGCCGTGGGATGAATGACTGGGCTAGTGCGTTCCATGGGTTTAATGGCCTGGTGCAGGGCTCGGCAAACTATGTCCTGGGGGCCAAACGTGGGCGAGCGCCTGTTTTGGCAAGTACAGTTTTGTTGGGGTGCAGCCACACCCATCTGCTTGTGGACTGTCTGTGGCTGCTTTCTGGAGGGGCAGAGCCGAGTCATTGCAAAAAAGTCTTTATGCCCAGAAAACAAACCGGGAGCTGCCAAAGTCTGCCAGCCCCTGTTCCAGCGGTAAAGAGGGAGTGAGATCCCACTAAAACTCAACTTCCTTCACTGGAGACTTTATTGTTACATCATGGAGTCAGCCCGTACATACAAAATTAATATTCTTAAAATATGCCTCATCATTCACGTCATTCCCCGGACGCCTGTCACTTAGAGCTGCACTGGCCTGTCAGTGAACCCCCTGAGCTCCAGGCTCCCCTTCCCGCCCGCCTCCTGCTCGCCCTCCCGCTCACTCCTGTAGGCAAGCGTCGCTGCAGGGCCTCCCCAACTCGCTCAGATTGCTTAGGCATCAGTTCCAGGGGGCTCCCGGAGTGCTCCTTTGAGCTCTTCACACAATGTATTGTCCACTTACTAATCGGACCCCCTGCCCCCTAAAAAACCAGCAAATTCATGAGGCACAGAATGGGACGTTATGTGCTGTGGAATCCTCAGCGCTAAGCACAGTGGCAGACACTCAGCGTGTGAAAATATACGGACGGTGCAGAAGGAGAATTGCAGTTATGAGTACTCGAAACACAGAATTTATTTCTTTTTATTACTTATGAATTATTGGATTATTTTCCATACGCACCACTGTAAACCTACCTTTGCCCCACCCTGTGTATGTGTGTGTATGTGTGGATGTGTGTGGATGTGTGTGTGTTAGTGTGTGTGTGTGGATGTGTGTGAGAGTGTGGATGTGTGTGTGTCTCTGTGTGTGTGTATATGTGTGTGTGTGTGTATATGTACTGTTTAAATAAATGAATATCTACCTCTCTCTTTTTCCTACTTGTCCCAGTTTATGGACATGTCACCTCGCGCCACATCCCTCTCCAAGGCCCCGTCCTCCTCAGCACAGGGTAATACACATCATTACCCAAAGTGGAGGATAGCAAAGGACAATCTGAGACTTATTACCTACATTTCATAGGGTCCTTAAAGACGCCAGGGAGGCGAGAAACAGAAAAACCTGAGCTTGCACAAAATCATTCTGATGAGAAGCTCTCTTAGAATAGAATGTAAGGAAGTAGTACATGGTATTTGAAAGTGATTTTTTAAAATCTTTGTGCACATAGCACATTGCTTCAGACCTAAAAATTCTAAGAGGAATCATTTGAGGATTTACTTTATTTAAGATGTTACTTTTTGCCCTGGACGGTTTGCTCAGTGGTTAGAGCGTCGGCCCACTGGCCCGGGGGTCACGGGTTCGATTCCTAGTCAAGAGCACGTAACTCGGCTGCGGGCTCGATCCCCGGCCTTGCAAGAGGCAACCAACCAGTGTGTCTCTCTCACAATGATGTTTCTCTCTCACGCCCCTTCCTTCCACTCTCTAAAAATCAATGGAAAAATATCCTCAGGGGAGGATTTAAAAGAAGGGAAAAAAAGGATGCTATTTTTAAAATACATTTAGGGCATTTGTATTATATATTATGTTTAATGTGATTTAAGCTGTATTTAACATAAAATACTTTACCCTTGTCACGTCTGTCTATATTGCAATGAGATTTTGTTCTTAGATTTGTTTTTTCCCAAGTAGATAAAATGAACCACTAGATGGCGCAATCATCATAAAGAAGTAATCACATTACAATTTTATTTTTATATAGAAGTTCTTTAATAAGAATTATTATGCTATTTATTTTAGGAAATTGGTAAGATAGTTTATTTTGTATAAAGGTCTTTACATATTTTATGCTTTGTGATTGTCAAACAATAATCAAAATCATCATGTAATTTTGTAGCAGGTTAATTTTGTAGTTTGTTTTTCTCCCTTTTGGAAAACCTTATGTTTTCAAACATTTGTTTTGCATAACTATTAACTTAGATACAATAAGCACAGAACTGTTCCTTCATCATGACCCACATAAACACCCTCCTTAACGAATGGCAGCATCCTCAGACTCCTGTTTGTTACCGTTCTGTGTATGCGCCTGTGCCTCCATCTGTAAGCTCCAGATAGGCGTGAACTTCTGTTTTAAACCCCCCTGGAACCCAGGGTAACAGCGCATGGGGGAGCACGGGGGGTGATGCTACGCCCGCCTCCAAGTTATTCCCCGCGCTGGCTCCTGGGCTCCGACCGCGCTTCCCTGTGCCGCTGACTGGGCTCCTGGGCACGGGCCCCCCAGGGTGCTGTGCCCCCGACACCTCCTCTCAGCCTGGGCGCTGGGGCCTGACAGGTCTTCTGCCCAAGCTGCATGGCCCAAGGTAGTGCTGTGCACAGAGTAAACACAAGTAATAATAATAATACATTTTGGTGAAGCATAGGTTTGATTAAACTGCCTAATACTAACGGGAAACAGGAATTAGAAATATATATATATATATATATATATATTTTTAATCCTCATCTGAGAATATTTTTTCCATTGCTCTTCAGAGAGAGTGGAAGGGGAGAGAGAGAGAGACATCGATGGGCCTCCCACAGGTGCCCCACCCAGGGCCAGGGATGGAGCCTGCAACCGAGGTACGTGCCCTCGGCTGGAATCGAACTCCAGACTGTTCATCAGCAGGCCGATGCTCTAACCACTGAGCCAAACCGGCTAGGGTGAAATTAATATGTTCTTGATAAATATGTGTAGGCAGGTGCCAAATCATTTTTATTTTATTAAATAATTATTGGGTCAATAAAGAGCAAGAAGCCTATAAAAATGTTCTATATTTTCAATTACATATGCATCTGTTATTCCAGGAGCATTCTCCTTCACTGAGATGGGAGAGTAAACTGGTACAATTATTATGGAGGGCAGGTGGGAACATGTATCCAAAGCTTAGAAATCATGATGATATTTCAATTTATTCCACTGAAATGATTATAGAGATGCACAGAATTTTAACTACAAGAGTTTTATCACATTGTTGCTTGTAGAATGTGAACATTTTAAAACATATAGCTCAAAAGTGACAGCAAAAATAAAGTATATTTCATCCATTTATTGAAATAATATTTGTTTGTATAACTATGGGGAATTATATATCCTGAACGATCTTCCCAAATGAAAATATTCAAATTTGAATAAAATATGAAAATGTATATTTTCATAACAGTTACCTGAAGTGAAAACAACACATTTATAGAGCCCAAGTGGAATGAAAGCAAGACCCTAGAAAGTGAGTGTCAAGGTTTGCTTGAGCCCTGAGTTCCCGCTAAAACCTGGAGCTGTGTGGACTTATCCTTTGAGGCTACACGATTACAGTGGATGGACTAAGGCTAAGGACTGTCCTGGTGTGGGGGATCTAACAGGAGACCGACTCTTCACAGGCCTGGGACCCCTAAGAGCTACACACTCATGTGAAAATAAATGAAAAATAAACTCCATTTTACATAAGGAGAAAGCAGGAAATTTGCCTATCTTGACTTTGGGACTAGATCACAAGAAAAGATGCGAAAGAGCAAAAGGCTCAGAATAGCCAGGGCACCTCTGGACAGAAAAACAAGTTCGCAGAACTTGCCATCCTAGATACCAAGACCTGCTATAAAACCGGATTAATTAAGATAGTGTGGTACTGGCACAAGGTTAGACCAACAGACTAATGAACAGGACAGAGGGGCAGAGAACCATGCGTAAGTGGACATGGCTCGTCAGTGCCGGGGATCGGGCCCACAACCCAGGCATGTGCCCGGACAGGAAATCGAGCCTTGATCTCCGGGATTATAGGTCGATGCTTAACCACTGGGCCACGCGGGCCGGGTACTATTAGTTCTTTTCTTTGACAGTTTGGATCTTGGTAGTTTGAATCATGATTCACTCTGATATCTTGGAACCTCCGTCAAAATCTCCAAGTTAACATCAGGATGAGTGATACACACGTGTATGTCTACCTCTACTCAAGTGCTCAAACCATGCTGTCTTCCTTCTCAACCTGCAGCTGTGACTGTCCCACTGGGTGGAAAGGAGCCTTCTGCATGGAGACAATTTCCACCTGTGACCCTGAACATGACCCTCCACACCAGTGTAGCAAAGGAGCAACCTGTGTCTCGTTGCCTTATGGATACACCTGTTACTGTCCTCTAGGAACCACTGGAGTCCACTGTGAACAAGGTGAGGCTGAATTTCAACTCCTGCTGTCCAAAAATTTAACTGTCAGTTTCCTTTGAGGAAAGTGAAATTAATATATGTGATAATGAAAGACTCTACTCTCTTTTTCCCCCAGTATATGTGACATTATATTTCACATGTAAGAGAGTCCTCACAGTTCAGTAGTACAAAAATACAGCTTTGTTTTTAGATTTGCTTTAATTTGTTAACTCTAAACCCCCTGTCTGTTTAGTCTAGGTGTTCTAGATGTTTTGTACTAAATGCAGTCCAGTCAAGTGAGCTTGGGTTCATATCTCAATTCCAGAGCAAGGCTCCATCTTTGAGCTTCTTCTCCCTTCTTCCCCTTGGCTCAGGAGTAGCAAAAGGCAGATACATCAGCTCCAGGGCAAAGGGAGAGAAATTTAAGGGGTTAAACGGTCCAAGTCCAGTGGGAACAGTAAGGAGCTTTCAATGTTCTAGATCTCATCAGCTTTACAGTTCCTCCCTGTACCTTATGATTGACAATATCCTTACTACTGGGGCAAATTATGGCAGTGCCTCTGAGGGATCCCCACAGCCTCCTGAGTGCTCCCCACATGGGCTGTGGCTATGTTAAGGGTAGTTCTAGATCTGAGCTAGTATCTCCCCTTTAATTGGTGGCTTGCATTAGACCTTGTGCTTTTCCTCCACATCACAAACACACGGTAGGGTGGGAGGGCCTGAGAGGAGCAGGCAGTCTTGTCACCTCCTGAATAGAGATGGACCAAAGTCATTCCTCCACTGCCCTCCTTGCAGTCAAATATCTCAGACTCCTCTTCCTGGACTCAGCCAACACCGGCAGGAGAAGGCATGTGGTTATCTACTGCCCACCACCCCCAAGCTGCAAGCAGAACTCCAACTGCATTTCACCTCCTCCTGCAAGTCCCTGACCCCGACCTCAGCCTCCACACCCAGCTACCACTTATTTATCCTTCAGATTTCAACTCAGACCTCACTTCTTTAGGGAAGGCTTCCCTAAGCCTCCTTCATGAAACCGAGAGCAGTGACCATGCCTGTTTGTGTTCATTGCTGTTGAATCTCTATTACCCACCCTGCAGAATACAAAATCTGTTATGCATTTCAACTTAACAGTTCTAAAATAATAAAAAAAGGGCCCTGGCTGGGTAGCTCAGTTGGTTAGAGCATCATCCCAATACCCCAAGGTTGTGGATTCAATCCCTAGTCAGGGCACATACAGGAATCTTCCAATAAATGCATAAATAAGTGGAATGACAAAGCATGTTTCTCTCCCTCTCTCTGTGTCTCAGACTCTCTCCCTTCCTCTCTCTCTCTAAAATCAATAGAAATATGAAAAAATAAATAAAATAATAAAAATGGATTGCAACACTTTTCAAGAAATAGTTCTTGATTTTAGTGAACAGCAAAGTACTCAAAACTTTACCAAGATGGTGCACCACTATTACTTCCAAAGGAATTGCTATTAGAAACCGAAAGAAATAATAGGACAAGTTAACATAAGGGCTAGTTACAATAGAGCAAGCCAGGTTTTTGAAACTTAAAGGCACAATATATCATCAATAAGTTTAAAAACACTCTATTTCTAGAGCAGTCCCTCATAATAGCCATTCCTTTAGTAAATACAGCATAGGAACCAACGATGTAGAGGTAACATTTTATCAACAACTATCATACTCCAATGGTCTGAGGAAGCATAATCATTGAAAATCAAATATCTTCAAAACCAAAATTTGTCTTTAAATAACTTATCAAATACTGGGGTTGAAAGATCCTCAAAAATCACTTCATCCCAATTCCTTTACCTTGAAAGAGATTAAAATCAAAACGATGACTGAGCAGGACTGAGGATTTAAGTCTTCACACAGTCAATCCGGTGAGTTTCACATTCCACAGTATTAGTTGCATCTTATAATCAAAATATAAAAGCTAGCGGTCCCACAAAATAAGTGGAAACTTGTACAGTCTATGGTATGGAGAATTGGTTAATAAAATGTCCTTGTCCCGTATTTTAAATTGTCTTAAATATTTCAAAATATGTGTATAGATCTGAGAAGACGGTTGCTGGGGGAATTTTTTTCCCCAGCATTCTAATTTAAGTAGCGAAATCTTATTTCGTACATATCCCTTACAAGATCTTAGAATGACTCGCTAATGCGAAAAAGTGATCCTTCAGGTCCCTTAAAATATTCACCTATAGCTGACAAAGAAAAATCCATTTAAGCACAAGCGGAGGACAATTCCTGCTAGGCTTTNAAAATATTCACCTATAGCTGACAAAGAAAAATCCATTTAAGTGCAAGCGGAGGACAATTCCTGATAGGCTTTTTTTTTTCACTATGGCCTCACCCCAAACTTCTTTGGAGTTGCACCAGTTATGGTGCTGTGGTAATAAAATACCAATAGACCAGTTGAATTTAAGGGTCACGGCCACCAAAAGTGATTTGAATATCTGAGCCTGCTTCCAGAACGGCCTGAATCCTCAGTGCTCACAGTGTCTGACCCAGGCACTCGCTCAGATGCGTGTTTTAAAAACACCCAGGGGCCCTGAGCCAGCTTGAAAAATGACTGAAGATGAAGGACACTTGTCAGCAAACAGCAGCACCTGGGTTGGATATTTCACAAGGACTGGTGGTCTTAATTTAAAAAGAAATCATAACAGGTACTAGGGTAGAATATTTTCCAATCTAGCTTAGTCATTAAAATATTCTGTTTAGGCAGGATTCTGGTTTACAGTTCTTTCACGAGATAGAAAATATGTCCAGTTTCTTTACTCAAACACCCAAATTTTGCTCATTTGCTCTTTTCTTCTATGTTATTGCTCTCTTTCCTGTTAGAATTTATTATTTACAACTACACATATAGCATTTCCTGAGTCACACAATCTCTCCTCTTAATTCTTTCCCCCACATTATTGGTAAATTGCTTTTTTTCCTTGGAAAAATTTTATGCTACTAAATTCTAGCTATTGCGTATAGTTGACATTTAGCCAAATGAGATTCCATAATATGTGTGTTTTTAACTTTTAGCCTAGCAAATATTGAAAATGTTTCCAATTTTCTTACATTCTTCCCATGCATAGTGCAATTTTCCTTCCACTCATTTCTCATTCCCTAAGGTAAACAAACCCAGGCACATGCTCACATTTTGAATGAAACAGGCACATGTTTAAGCTACTTAGTCCCTTGGTGCTAAGGGTACTTTATGGTTCACCTCGCCCCAGTTTTCATTGCAGTTAATTCAAGTTAATGGAAAGGTTCAATTCTTCAAGCCTTCCAGACACATGGGATGCTCTCCCGCCAAGTCTTTGGTTTTCCCTAATAATAGAGAAATGGGTCCACAGCACTATAGATGGCAATTTGAGAAATCATTTCTGCGCCTGTTTCCAGGAGCATTTAGCCATGTGGGAATACAGCAGGTAATACACAGCTTTCTTTATAGGAAAAATAAACAAACTTTAGTCCTTATTTGTTTCCCCACTTTATATCCCATCGTGATANATACAGCAGGTAATACACAGCTTTCTTTATAGGAAAAATAAACAAACTTTAGTCTTTGTTTCCCCACTTTATATCCCATCGTGATAATTAATAAAAATGTGGTTACATGTGTACTAGATCCTCTATCTTTACAATTTTACAATACTTTTAAAAGTAAAGAATAAATAGAAACTAGCTCTGATTCCTAGTCACAAACATTTTAATTCTTCTTTAGTCTTCTTTCTGTGCTTCTCAATCAACCTATTAAATTATAAGTGAAATTCAGTGAAGAGAAAGTGAATTATATATAACAATGCTAAGGTTTATATAAACATTAAGCTTTTTAATATCAAAAGGAACAGATGTTGCTAGTGAGTCTTAGTAGAAAAGAAATAGACACGCCTGCCATTTCCTATCCTTGGACCTCGGGCAAGTGAGCTTCACTTTCCTGAATATCAGACTAAAAGGGGAGAATGTGAAAAATCTCTGTTGAAGGGGAATTTGGGGCCAAAGTCCAGGGATAGTCCATTCTCCTTGCCAAGTCCTAAATTAATGATTATTACTTTTTATAAGGTTGTGAGACAAAGGTTAAAAACTCTAAGAGACAGACATCTGTGAGAGGTTTTTCTTTAACAAAGTCCTTTTTATTTTCTATTCAAGATAACATTAAAAAACAAAAAGCACTCACATTGGATTTTCAGCCCAAAGTTTCCTCCCTTGAGGTGTTTTACATATTGAGCTATAAATACCCTGATCCCCATCTTAGGATGGCAGGAAAAAAAAACCCAAACACATGTCTGCTTACAATCAATTTCTATGGACAGGGCTTGGTTGCCTCTTCCCGAGGCAGGTCTGCCCTCCCTCTTTAAATCTGAGATGACGGACAGCGATGAGATCCAACCACAGACTTTACTATCTAGTTTGGAGAGCTGAGAGACAGGCTCCCTCTGGTTTCTAGTAGAAACATTAAAAAGTGACAAGCGAACTAGCATTCTCATGACCACACGGCTCATTAGTTCATGTCCTTCTTTTGTTAAAATCTGTATAATTTGTCTTAAGAAAAATAGAAAACCAAACCTTCCTGTACCAGGCCCTTGTAGTGACCAAGGAATGTCACAGGCATTGGCCGTGAAGCCCTGTGGTCTGAGGCAGAATTCTCTACGTCTCCCGGGACGCCCCATAAAGGTTACGATGAGTCAGTGAGAGGCCAGCCCCGTGCCCAGCCGAAAACAAGCACCCGGTAAACATTCGCCCCGCCTACAGAGGGAAGGAAAACGGGGTGGTCACACGCAAATTCAATGTAGGTCTGTATGCCCAGCCGGTGTGGCTCAGTCACGGTTTGGTTCCTGGTCAGGGCTCAGGCCCAGGCTGGGGGCTCGGTCTCCAGTAGGTGGCGTGCAGGAGGCAGCCGATCGATGTTTCTCTCTCTCTCCCTCTCCCTTCCTCTCTCTCTAAAATCAAATAAAAAAATGTAAGTCATGTCAACATAGATATTTTGATCATTTTCATTTTTAAAATATGGATTAGTTT